CAAGAGGAATGGAGTGTGGTGCCAGCCTCTGAGTGTCACCAGAGAGCAGCAGAACAAACGGATCCTGAGAGGCAGCCTGACTAAAAGGGAAACTGAAAAAGAAAATGGAAATTGAAAGAGGGAAGATGACACAATGGAGTGATGAGGAAAAGGAGGACACTCAAACGTCCCAGATATTTTGGATGACGATGGAATCTCGAGGAGAAATCCAGAGCGCCGGAAGACTGGGCAGAATAGAGGAGAGCGAGGGAGATTAGAGGTGATAACAGAAGAGAAGGAGGGAGCGAGGGATAAATGTGCTGTGTGGTATTAAAGCTGTAAGCTCCATCTGGTATTTTTAGTGTAGACTGTCTCTTAGTGGTGGAAAGAGAGGAGAGGTTCACTGCAGAAGCAAGGAGGAGAAGAATCTGGCAAGAGGGAGCAACGTAGAAGACGACCGAAAAGGAGGGATGGAGATAATGCAGTGACGGTGTCTGTGGAGGAAACAGAAGGAGAGTTACTGTGTGTGTCTCGCCTGGTTAGGTGTGTGTGCACCTGCACTGTTGGGAGCGGCCATCAGATCAGCCTCAGCTCTGATGAGGCCTGTCCTCCAGGCCACGTGATCTTAGCTGTTAGCCGATCCACGCTGCTGTGTCTCCCTCTGTAGAGAGGGAGACACAGAACAACAAGAGTTTAGTTTGCCTGCTGTGAAAGGAAACGGATCTGGAGAGTGTGAGTTGGAGGCCTCATTGTCACTGCTGCCTGAAAAGCACAGATCTGGACTAAAGTCAGAAATATGACCAAGGCTTTTCTTCATTACTCATCATTTCTACTCTCTTTTGCACAGATGCTAATGAGATGAATGGCTCTTCATGGGTTAGTTTCCCTTTCAGTATTAAATGATATTAAGTACCTCTCACCCCAAGTTACCGGCTCTTCCTCTGTTGTCTCGAGAAAGCTACACAGCTGAAAAGCCTCAGGGCTCTAGAGACTTTAAAAAAGAAAGCTAGGATGTTGGTGCTCAGATGAGAAAAGGAGCCGGAGTACAGGCAAGAAAATGGGCATTTCAGGCAGCTGCTGCTTGAGGGTGTGGCATGTAAAGGAGACTAGAGTGAACGACATAATTTAAAATGGACCTGTTGCTTTTTAGCAACTCTGTAGGATACATATAAACAACCAGAACTGTTCTTCCAGTTGTGCTTCGACAAAGACAGGCACAAGTTTCAAATTGAAATAGCGGATCTGCTCTACATCAACTGTTATTTCAACTAAAAACGAGCAGCAAGGAGAGTTACTCACCTACGCAGAGAGAGAAGAACTGCCTTGTAGAAGGAAAACAGTGAGCACCCCTGCAGCTCTGCAGAGCCGTTGTCAGCTGAGAGGGAGAGAGAGAGAGCCACTGGCTGGTGAGGAAGCAGAACTGAGGAGAAGGAGTAAACAGAGAGGGGCCGTCCTCTTTGGACTGCAGAGGGAGGAGCTGCCCTGACTTTGACACATGTGAGAGCAACTGCTACTGAGAGAGTGTGAGGGACAGAGCGAGGAGGCCGGCTGAGAGAGGCTGACATGGCAGCGAGCACAGGACTCGAGGAGAGGGGGAGCGGGTGAACCATAGAGAGGTTAAACCAAGGAAAAGGGAAGAGACTTCTCAAACTGGTAGCACCTTCCTGTGCTCTCCTCCTTGCACTAACCCTGCAGCTTTTACTTTTGGATCAGCTTGTTGCCAGAGACGTCTTTTCTGTCTCCTCTCCTGGATTATGCACCCTTACCGTCAGGAGAACAGACAGTACAGCTGTGGACGATGTGGCCTGACTACAGGAATGAATGTCACCTCAACGCTCACCTGTACTCACTCATGTGCTGCGCAGGTCAGTGTGTGTACTGATGTGTGTACATGCCCATAGAGTAGCCGTACAGTGTTGGCAGTTGTTGTTTACATGCTACCGACCCGCAGGGTGGCTCCTGTCAGCACGTGTTTCACTCTGTGCTCTGAGCACTTCCTGTTTGAACACATACTGTGACAGCAGCCGACCGAGGATGACAGGGCAAAGGACGAGACATCTCTGTGTGTGTGTTATTATGTTTGGGCAGCAGTGGGTGTGTACGTCTGAACAATGCCCTCCTCTGTAGATGAATGAGTGCCTTTCTGTGGCTGTCACTCGCATACCTCAGCTCTTCTCATGGCTCCACTTGAGGCTGTGTAAACATAATAATGCTTGTGAACACACGGATGGTTTGTGGCCCATCTACACGAGCCTGATAAGTCTTCACAGGCACGGTAATCTGCGTGTGGTACACTGATACATATGTGTGTGACCTGGTGACGTGTAAAAGCCGATTTCCTCTGGGCTGACTAGCTCTGCTCCCTGGGCAGGTTTGGGAGGCTCGGTGTGCTGCAGTGGTGAAACTATTTTGCAAGAGCATGTTGAAATAGTTGTTCTTTGCCTGGGGGCTTTCCCTCTGTGTGAGCTCCTCTGTGTGTTTAATCGGTGTTGAGGCTGACCTTGAATTTTAAACTAGTTGAGATTTTGGATCAGCTTGTTGCCAGAGATGTCTTTTCTGTCCAATCAAATCCTTGGAAATCCTTCCTGCTCTTGGAGCAAGACGGTTGAAAGGGTCTGAGCTGGGTAGCAGCTTCATGCTGCTGTGGGTGTGAGACAGAGACAGAACGACAACAAGGTCTTTGAAGGAGGAAGCGATACCACCTTGTCTCTCCCCATGACTGCTCGCCATCATGGAGTCACCATAGCAACCAGTCAACGTGTGGCAGGAAGGGACGTATCTGCTGCAGGATGTTTTCTGATAAGCTGGAGCTGAATCTGGAGGGGAAAGCCTCTTCTGCTACTGAGCTGTTTGTCTGGATATGAGAAACAACAGTGTCTTATCATGGTTTTATTTTTTAAGGTTCTGTAGGGAATGCTTTCACTGATAGAAAGTATGTTTGACACTTAGTAACAGCTGAAACTTAGGCTACTGAAAAGATCCTAAAAAGCTGAAACTATTACTTTAAACATGTTTATCTAATTTGTTTGCAGAATTTATTTACCGTTTTTATTTTGGCAGATATGCAGAAGTTAGCATGACTTTTAATGTTTGATCTGTGGCTCTGTAAAGTTACAGCTGCATTTTCCCCCCATTAATGATTAATCTTCTGATCATTTTTGCCCAATGATCTATTAACCATTTGGACTATAAAATGTTAAAAAGTGAGTAAAGCCACAATTCCTCAAGCCGACTGAGACAGTTTCAATTGTTTTGTTTTGCAAAAAGTAAAAACCCAAAGATATTTAATTTATCACATAAAACTCAGAAATACAGCAAATCCTCACAGATTCATTTGTTTATCAAAACAGTTGCCTGTTATTCTGTTGATGTACTGACCAACTGATCTAGTAACGGTATCGCTGCTGAAGGTGCCTACCCCTCTACGTTGTACAAGTTTGATTTTGTAGCCTTTGCATTTAGCTTTGTTTTGGTAATGCAACATCCCTTGGAAAGATGGGCTCTCCCTCCAGCAGGAACTGTTTAACCGAATGGCGGGAAAGGAAAAAGAGTGGTACTGCTTTTTCAAGACTTACTGATATGAGTGGAGAGAGGGACTCTGTTACTGTGGAGGAAGAGGAGGGGGAAGATAACACTGTTGCAGCATCAGGCTCTATTCCTGGCCTGGCCGCCTCACTGCTCTGGCCTGTGGGGGCTGGAGTCTGGAGCTTTTCCCAGCTGCAGATCACACTTCACTTAGAGACTGTAGACAGATACAGGACTGAGAGAAAGGTCAGACAATTACATAATGCAAACTAGGGATCTATTAGAGTAGAAACAGGCAATAATAAACATGCTGGCAGCCTTTTTTCAGTTGAGCTAACAAGCAAGAACGGAAAACCAAGAGCAACCTTGGAGCTTTATTGGTACAACCTCAGTGAAGCCAAACTTGCATGACTGCAAAACATAGTCATGATACTTTTTCACAAGGTTGCATTTGTCGATTCAGAGGTTCTTATCAACAGGATGTTGATATCAACCTGCCCTGTGTCTTAACCAAGCCTTTAGCTGTTGTACCGCTTCACGTCAGGGCTGAATAAGATCAGCAGCACTGTGAAGACTCATCTCAGAGGGTTTGTTGTGAATCAGCAAACGGTTTGGGGACTAAAGGTTAAGTCTGCATGCTTTACTTATCAGGTAACATCTTGCGAAATGCAGTAAACAGAAAAAACTACAGTAAATCCTATCAATATTTGCAGTTTCCAGTTTTCCAGGTTGTTGGAGAACCTGCCACAGTTCTTCTGTGGGTTTAGGCTGTGTCAGCGTTTTCAGTCACGTCATGATCCCAGCCTCAGTGATGCTGAGGTCAGGGCTCCGTGTGCAGGACTCCTCGTTGTTTTTGGCTCATTGTCCTGCCATGGGATGAATTTAGATAAGAAGCTAAACATCTCAAGTGCTTAGAAACTTTGCACATATGCTCGTGAGTGGTGTCCAGTTACACTTGTGTGTTAAAGTGCCTTTTGTTGAGTTTATGAAACTGAAGTGTGTGTTAACAAAAAGGGTTAGAGGGAGTAATCGGATATAGGCCACTAAGTGTAAGTGTGCTTGTGTGTCACTGTGTACAGTATGTGAGCTGGTATTACTCGTGTAGTGGAGAAATGCTACGCAGTCACACTGTGGGAGCATGACAACAAAAGGGGCGAGACGTAAATCATTACATTTGAGGATGATGCTCTAGTTTAAGTTCAGGGTGAGGTTAGTCTCCAGGAAATTAATGCAAGTCCCCTGAGGTGAAACACAGCTCTGTGTGTGTGTGTGTGTGTGTGTGTGTGAAATGAACAGCACATAAACTCATGGCCACAGTAGTGAAGTGAATACAGCTTCAGCAGCAGCTGTCTCCATCGGGGGTGTCAAGCCCACTAGGCTGAGTTGGATTTGTTTTTGTGTGTGTATGACCTCAAACATCTACATAATTGTGTGATGTATTTCAGAAATTGAAATGATGTAATTCACCTCCCTTCTCTCTCTCTCTCTCTCTTCAGATGAGCGGGACAGGGTGCAGAAGAAAACCTTCACAAAATGGGTCAACAAGCATCTCATCAAGGTATGTGTGACTAAGCTCAGCTGCTCTGCTGTGCACTTGTTTCAGCTTTGTGGAAATGTTTGCAGGGGTTTTATCGTTCTATAATGTATAAAATCGTTTAAACCTAACCTACACTTTCTCGAATAGCCTTTATTTGAAAGTCGGTGAACTGAACAGCCTCAACTCGTAAAGGAGCTGGACTGTGTGTATAAATCTAGCAGTAGCAGAACAATAGCTTGAAGGAAAAACTTTTCTCGGTGTCCTAGTAACCTGAATAAAGGCTCGACTCATTGCTGCTGTTGCTATATAATTAGGAAACCCAGTGAGAAGGACAAAAAGAATCAGTCCTAAATGTTCATTATCTGTTCTCCCACCACCTACAAGCATCTATTAGCATCATTTTTAGCAGAATGTGGAAAGAGCAAAGCGAATAGAGGCGTCTCATGTCTCCTGCCTTCTGCCATGAAACTGACTGCATTTATTTAAATTGAGTCTGTCTGTGGTCACTGTACTTTTCAGAGTGGAGAGTGTGGTTTCATCAGCCCTGTGTAGTAACCTGTGTTAATGTGGCTGTGTCTGAGCAGCATCTGTCTGGATTGTTCTGCCCGTTTGCTTTATCGCTGTTAGAAATGGCTCTGAAGTCTGTTAAACCTCCCTCTCGTTCCGGCCGTGCTGTGACACTTCCATCATGCTTAGCAGGGAAAGCAAAGTGGTGAATAAAGTGGATGTGAGTTGTGAATTTTTATGAATTTAAAAGCCCTTTTACTGGATTGCAATATTAAATATTAGGTTGGCAGACTGTCTTTGTCGAGGCAGGCTCTCAAATGTGATCATGTAGCATCTGAACATCAATAAGAAAAGCCTGAATGAATCAAATCTGAAAGAGCAGCTGCAGAACGTCTCGATAAGCTGGCAGTTTAAAAAAACTAAATAAGACCCACACTTTGTCCCTTCACAGTAATAGAAACAATGCACAAAACATCAGTTAGAGTCCACACTTTGTCCCTTCACAGTAATAGACACAAAACATCAGTTAGAGCGCTGCACTTGGGGATAACCACTGATTTTCCTTAGGATAATAGAAGAGAAACTTTGATTTGTTGTTTCAGTTATAACTATTGGCTCTTTATAGTAAGATCCTCCTTTGTGTGTGGGCCACAGACAGCTGCCTTTGCGGTTGCATGTGTGCGTGCTGTCACATCTGCACACACACATGCTACTTCTATTACATCTAATGTACAGGGCCATGTGTCACACACTAAGGCAGTAGGGGCTGTGAGGGGAGGAGAATGCGTGGTATTCGTACAGGACCCTGGGCCGAAGCGTCCGTCTGACCCCTTAACTGTGAAGCACCTGGTCACAGCGCCCATATCTCATATCACCAGGCAGTGCCAGAGTGGCCCCTGATTGTAAATGTAGGTCAGAGATGAAGAGTGAGAGCAGCAGGAGTCCAGCTCCCATGAGTTGGTACTGGGGCGTTGCTGTTTTACCGATATTCCAGCAGAGCGGTGTAAGACACTCACTGGTGTTTACAGGGCGTGATTGATTTCGGTTATTTTGTCCAAAGGGTCTGTTATCACCAGTTCTGTCCAGTCTGTGTGGAATGTATCAGATTTGGCCTTTCTCTGCTGACAGTTGTTCCAGGTGGCTTAATGCATCTTTTTATCTGACTGCACATTCACTTATGTACACAGATGCACAGAGTTCTAGCTGCTGCATTAGCATCCTGGTCATCTCAAGTTTTATTTTACATTTACTTTTATAGCAAGACAGAAGGATGAGAGGAAGGCTGAAGGGAGAGACAGGACAGGATGAGTGGAAGCAGACGATATGAAAACGTGACCAGCAAAACACTCTGGCCGTTGATCTGTGTGCTTTTGTTAGAAGAGGTAATATTTCAAAAAGAGAATGGTTTGTTCAAACACTGCACTTGAATAGAAAGTAGTGGGAAATGGCCTGCATCATCTGTTGACTCTGGACCAGGACTGTTGACTCTACTCACCTCCGCCCTGTCAGATGGGGATTAGTCACAGAGAAAACAGAGCTGACATATGGAATAGAAAATGAGCTCAGGTAGACATGTACACTGGTGGCTAAGGTGCCGTACCTGCTGGGTGACATCATCTCCCAAGTTTCCTGTCTGTTCTGTGACAGTCATGTCTGGTATGTTTGTGGCTGATTGCGTGTGCAGAGTATGAACAGGTATGTACACACAGTACAAACATGGGCCAATGTAAAAGCACTGGCACCCACGCTGCCTGCTGGCATGCGTTGACACAGTTTGGCCTAGCTGTGTAGCTGTGGGTTCAGACGTCAAGCAGAACCAAGGGGTTTGTCACAAAGATGATGACGGGTTTGACGACATCTGGTCAAACGTCCCGTTAGCCTCCTGAGCTGCAGTGCAGCTGTCTGGATCTGTTCGTGATGTGCAGCAGACTTGCACGGCCTCCAGGCTTGAGACAACACGTACATCAGCAAATGTTGCTGTCAACACTGAATTTTATAATTAAACACGTTAAAGGCCTAAAATAGTTTGTCAAGCATGGTTGTAAACCAAGGCTTTTGTGTGTTGAGGACAGTTTCACCTAATTCATACGGTGCCGTTCTGTGGTTTAACATCATCTGAAGCTGGATCCGTGTGACTGTAAGTGATCAATGTTATCAGTTGCTCTGCAGACGGTTTTCTCCATTCATGAGTTGTCGTTTTCAGATAGTTTGTTTTGTCTGAGAACTTTAAATCGCCCAATTTATCCCCAGATCCTCACAAATGAAAATCTGGAACTAGAGAACAAATGACTAAGCTCATCAAAGCTGTTGATGATCTATTGATTCTCTAATCATTCTATTGATATGCACTTGATGTCATTATAAGGTCTGATCCCAGTTCACCCCCTACCACTTAGTCCTCCCCCCATGTGTAGTGGTAGGGGTGTACCATTCTCTGTAGGATGGAGGGGTACGGTGAAGTGGTCGGGCTACATAGGCCTTCAAATGGTTTTCACAGACAGACTCCAAATTGAGAGGTATGAGGCCAACTACAACAAAAGTTACCCGCAGTCAACGCTACACACCTCAGTCAAATCCACCAGCATTCCCTGGATCGAAATATATTCCTGTCTCTGCATTTTTCTTATTTGATTGTGAAAATTGCAAACCAGTTCTCATAGCCCACACAAGAGAGATCACCACAGCGATGTGATTCAGAATTACCAATGACAGGTCATCGGGACTGTTTACTTAACCACTGTTGTTAACTAGCAGTGAGGCATAGAGGTCTTGAAGGGTTGCCCCATTTCACAGGGGAAGATTTCAACCACTAGTCCTTGTAACTCTATTTTGAGGGTTAACCAGAAAACAAGAGAGCATTGAAAAATGAGTGGTAGGGGCAAGACATAAGAAATGGGATCAGGCCTAATCATACAAAGCAGACAGAAACATGTCAGCCTGTCAGAGAGAGATGAGCATATAATTCTTAGCATTTTTGACGTGTGGAGTACCAGCTGCAGTGTGTGGACTTTACCAGACCAGGCAAATCACTTCATTCTGTCACTGTGTTATAGTTTCTTAAACCCTATTTATGTGACAAAGAAAATAGATAACATGTTAAATTGATTTCCAAATTAGGTCTGGCCCAGATTTGTGTTCAGTGTGTGTCAGAGCTGTCACAGTTACCCAGGCGCTGAGTGTGATGTGGTCTCACCATCAGCTCCATGTGAGTCTGATTTAGTGCTGAAGACCTCTGACAGCTGTCTCTGATCCCCCCACCCACATCCTGTTTGTCAAAAACACCAGGTCACAGCCTAATAGAAAGACTCAGCTGTGCGTTCATTGATCGTCAGTGATGCTCACTGTGTTTGTAAGTATGTAGTATCAGTGATGCTCACTGTGTTTGTAAGTAGCCTGAATCACACACCAGAGTCGACTGTATACTTGGTTTCTGATGTGTTGAGTCATGCAGTGGGGCTTTCTGCTGGGCCATCTTTGGATCCCCTTGGGAACATAAACAGAAATAAACATGCGAGTTTCTTGATTTGATGTAGTAAGCAAAGCAGCCTTAAAGTCAGCCAGTCACTTTAAGCAGTGTTTATTGCAGGGTTTGGCAACACATGCACCTGGGATCATCATTATTCCTTAGTAGAGGTATTATGTTATGATGAAGAGTTGTTGCTGTTTACTTTGTTTACTCAAAATAGCAGTTATTACAGGAGAAGTGACACAATCAGTAACAGCTGCTATGTTAACGGTAGAGTTATTAGAAATGACTGGAAAGTAGTAGGGTCAGATACTCCAAGTCACAGGGTGAGCTCCAGTATTGTGATATTCCAGGATCCTATGGAACTGCAACCATTCCTTCAGCTCCCTTCTGAAACGGCTGATGTCAACCTTTCATAGAGAAACAAAGGCAGCGACAGAAGAGTGTGAGTGTGTCGCATCTGAGCAAAGACATGGAAAAGAGTGAATTATTATTGAGGACAACTGGATGGAGACTGTTAGTTTTGTAGCAGCAGTTTGAAAACAATGGCTTCTGCTCCACCTTAAACAAATGTGTTGTAAATATTAGTTTCTGGCTGAGCTGGAGATCACTCTCCCAGCCTACTCCTGTGACTGTCCTGCCCTCTCCTGGTGAAATTGGGAAGTACAGTTTGTACTTCTTGCACAAAAACGTCACTAAACAACCATCAGATGTTTCAGTTGTGTTTTTGGGTTTCCTAGGAAAGTGGGGTTCTAACCTCACCGAGCTTATTCCTGGGTACATATTGGTCATCCGTAACAGTTGTGCTTTGTTTTCAGTTTTGTCTATTCATACACCTGTCTTCTTTTATTCCGTCATTCTAGAATCACATTAACGTTGTCCCCTTGGTACCATGAGACATCACATGTGCCACATGGTGCAAAGTTTAGCCTTAAAGACGTTTTTGTATTTTTAACTTTTTGATACTTTAACTCTTACACATGGTACAAGGTGAGGAATATCGTTTCTCAACATCTTTTCAGTCATTTTTGTGTAGGTTTATATTTACTGTGCATCTAAAGTCCTTTGATCCATACAACAGATGCGGAGCGCTCCATGTGATGCTGTCAGAATAATGTTGTTTGTCACTAGTGCCAAGTGAAGTCAAAAATAATGGTAACATGAGAGACTGTGCACAGATTTAGAATGATTCCCCTCTTTCAGTTCACTTCTCGTAACACTCAGTCATCACAGCTTGCCTATTGCTCCCTCTCTCTGTGTGTCCCACTTTCATACCAAACGAGCGCGGATGCTGATCACGCGGCTCGGCCTGGACGCTGAGTCACCGTGTCAGCAGCGTTCACTGGTGACAAACCCACCCCCATCCTGCACAGTGTGGAGGCGGTGTCATGGCAACAGAGACGAGATGCCACAGCTGCTTTTGTCGCTGTTGGCATGGCGACTGTTGTCCCCAGCCCCTGTCAGCTGTGGGGCATTCGGCCTGGCACGTGTCAGCAGTGTTTAGTCGACAAGGGGTTGATGGGAGTCCGGAACTAACTTCCTTTTTTTTTTTCTCTCTGCTTCCCTTCTCATTCTCTTGTTTGCATTCCTCCCCCTCCTCTCTGTCCTCTCTCTCAGGTGAGGAAGCACATCTCAGACTTGTATGAAGACCTGAGGGATGGACACAACCTAATATCTTTGTTGGAGGTCCTCTCTGGAGTCACCCTGGTATGGAGTTTACCTCTCATACACACACTCCTACCTGTAAACACAATAATTTGCTCAATTATTGTCACAGTGCAGTATGTTGCATCACACACCGCCCCTCTGTTCCATCACACACCCTGTCATCCCCAGTTCAATGCATCATAGTCATGTCGTTGTTACATACTCTCTTTAAAACCAACCCCGGAGTTTTGGAGGAGACTCGTGATGCCAAAGTTAAGCAACCTGACATTTCCAGATCTCCAGTGGTTAAGTCATGACAGCAATGAGTTTGAGCCCCTGTGACCTGACTTTACTCAGTGATGAGTTAACAGTCCTAGTCGTAATGCAGACAGAGCAGCCATGATGTGTGATGCAGAATGACTTAGCTGGAGACGGGTAGACAGGTAGAAACAGGCTGCTGACTGTGCCCTGGTCATGTTATTGTGGATTGTTGAGAACTTTAAAAATGCATGTCCTTGTTAGTTCAACCGTTGAGATTTTAAATCCATTCCAGAGCTTTGAAAATGCAGCTGACAAAGCAGTCTCACTCTGTTTAGCAGCTTTTAGAGACTTTTCATTGCTCATTTCCAGTGTTTTGCAGTTTAAGCTCTTTGAATTGCAGCTACTATATTTTTCAGTGTTTTCGATCTTCCTGGCCGTTTCATTGTCTTCTTCAGTCACCAGTTCTCATCCTCCAGCTCCTCTACCTCTCTTTCTATCTCCCATTTATCTCCCATCTGTTACCGTAGCAACAGAAGAGTGGCCCTACATTGAAAAGGGCGTACGCCTCTCGGGCCCCCCCTCTCATCTTGCTCGGAGGGGAGAATGAAGAGGAGGAAGGAGCTCAGGCAGTATGTTTAAACCCTCTCACTCTGTCAGCTCTGACCCTGCAGCTTCACCCTCTGCCCAACAGGTGGAGCTGTAAAGCTGCTTGCGATTGCTGTGTCACTGACTCATGACCAACAGAGCCAGGCTCCAACGCTGTGCTACTGTGTGACAACACGTGTAGGCCATCGCTTCTGTTGGGTGACAGCATCAGAACTCTAGTTTGGTGGTCTTCATGTTCTTATTTAACAATTAATGTCTCTTCTGTGAGAGAGTTTATTCTGAAAAGTTTCCATTTCAAAAATATGTTTTCACTCAACACTGCTGTTTTGCATGTGCTGTGCACGATACAAATGAAATCTAGCCCAGATGGAGCTGGATTTGTATTAATCAGATTATAATATTTTCTGATTAAACGGCTTGACTAGTAAAAATGAAAAATCATCTGTAACGAGGGTGTATAACAGTTCAGGACTGACAATTCTCACGTATCTGTGAAATATTGAGATGGTAAGAAAACAGCTAATAGCTGTTAAAAAGGGTTCCCATCTGATTTGACTTTTATTTATTATCCTCATTAACACAGTTTTTGCCCAAAACATGGCGACAGAATGAAACAGGACATGTGTTTCAGTTCACAAAAAAAAATAAACATGTTTGAATCTTACAGACATTTATAGTATAATGCGCACTTCTTGCCTTGTTTGATGTGATGACTAATCCGGAGTGAACCTTATCCCACACAGTGTGAACCCACATCTACACTCATGTAGTCACGCGTTTTCTCTCTTTCTTACTCTTAAACTTTTTCCTCCTTCTAAACCTTAAACTGGATGTAGGTGGAACGAGGTAAATGATGAAGGAAGAAAAGAAGGAAGACGGTCTGATATGACGCTTGCATCTTCAGTACTAAACTAGCATGGGTTGAGTCTGGTTTGCGCCACAGTTTTGGCATATCTTTAATAGCACCTGTTGAAATCAGACAGGTCTATTTCCTTGCTTCACTGCACTGTGGATCTAATTCAGCTTTACAATACTGACATACTGTACTGTACACCGCTGCCCTCTCCATTTGTGTCTCGAAAAACACTGAATGTAAATGTTGACTTTTCTCTTTGTTCCCTCTCTTCTGTTCCAGCCCAGAGAAAAGGGGCGAATGAGATTTCATCGACTACAGAATGTCCAAATAGCACTGGACTTCCTCAAACAGAGACAGGTATGCATACAAGCATACAAAGTTCAAGGTGACTAATTTTTTTGCAAGTGGAACGAGTGATACGAGCTGATAAAAACATGGATCTGAGCATCACAGCCTTACTGTGAGGTCAGCAGTTTGGGTTAAACTCGAGTCAGGGTTTCTCATTAGTTTCTTTTCTTTTCTTTTTCAGGTCAAACTTGTGAACATCAGGAACGATGACATCACCGATGGGAACCCCAAACTGACGCTAGGTCTCATCTGGACCATCATCCTTCACTTCCAGGTCTGTGGCCTTCCCATGCTGTCCTGCAGCATCTGACTGTGTGTGTTTCCTAGGTTACATTAGATTAATAGTTAATTCAGTGTGTGCTGGTCATACTTCCTGTAAGAACTTCATGGGCAGCTGAAGGTTTTAGATCCTGCACATGATCTAATAATCCCTCTTACTGATTGTAATTGGATTATGGTCCACATCATTACATCTGTAATTTTATCTGGATTTTAAATGAATCAAGTCAAAAGCGATTTGCTCCAATCATGGAGGTGATTTCTGTGTTGTCCTGCTGTTACTCACCGTCTCTGCCCAGCTGTTGGGATGAGCTTTGCTCTGTGTGTGTGTGTTGGCAACCAGTGCTAAGTTATGCAACAGAACAGGCTGCTTTGACCGGAAATGAGAGTGTGCGTGTGTATGTTCACGTTCTTCTGTGAAATCTGCGCACGATGGCTTCTGGGTAATGGGGTTTCCTGCCACTATGATGGTTTACTTCACTGCCTCAGTCAGTGGATACAGACATGCATGTCCGATTAGCAAACAACATGGGGTTCAGCTGATTTTACTGCATTGTCCTGAGCGTGTGTTATAAAGCCATCTCTAGACAAGCCCTTACAGGAAGACGCCCTCTCAAACATCACATGACACAGTTTGCCTTCAGTGTGGAAGATGTTCATTAGCCATGCGCTTAAATCCTGATCCTGGATTTACAGTTAGTTCCTGTTTACCAGTGTTTTCACGGACATTGTCCCATTTAAAATATGCCACATGTGGGCTCTTGTCCTTGATTTGTGATTCCCTGAAGACTCTGGTTGGAAGCTTCGAAGTTAGTCCAGGAAAAAACACTATGAATAAACCCCAGTATGTGAGCACTTGTGTGGTTATAACAGACAAGTAGTTGCTTTTTTTATACAAAGAATTACGTTTTATTTAGGTTTGTTTGTGGCTAAAACTGATATTGAGATTTGGCAGTCGTGTGATCTTAAAGGTGGTATAACTAACGATATTTTACAATACAAGTGAATCAAACTGTGTGAAAGAGGTTGCTCGCTTTTAGGTTTGTTTGTGGCTAAAACTGATATTGAGATTCGGCAGTCGTGTGATCTTAAAGGGGGTATAACTAACGATATTTTACACTACAAGTGAATCAAACAGTGTGAAAGAGGTTGCTCGCTTTTAGCGATGAACAAAGTGAATTATCCTTCCTGATTTTGCAGCTCTGCTGAGCTTTACCTAGCCTCATAGGCTTACCTCATTGTTTAGCTGTTTGTTCCATAAATTTACTGGTCTGATTTATTCTCACTGTTTCTATAGTGTTGTGTTCAGGCACAGCAGGCAGATGTTTTTAGAGAAACAGCCACTGTGCGCTCAGTGCCATACAGCTGAATGACGATGTTACTGAATAGCTGGTGAACACTGTGGAGCATTTAGAAGCTCAAGAGTCAGATATTTCCCTCAGAAGTTGGTAGAAACCAAACACAGAGTTGAGAGAATATTTTATTTGCCAAGTGGCCAGAAATGCGACCACAGATGAAGGCTGACGTTGCTCTGTTTATAAATAGCTGTTTGCTGAAGTTTGCTAATGTTAGCCATCTCAGCTTGATTCCACTACACCCAAGTGACTTAAAAAAATCTGTTTTTTCAAGGGGAAAAGTAAAATGGTAAAATACTAGCACATTTTGGTAGCTTGCTTCACTATAAAAGAAGGAAGCAGAACAGTTCTTAGACTCCTGGATTTTCCAAAAGGCTGTGTGCACTGCAGCTACAGATCATTACTAATCATCTTGTTGAACGGACTGTGGAGCTTGGGAGTAAATGTTGTCTAAAAAGCACCTTGTTTAATCCAGTCAGTCATCTGAGCTACAGCCTTCTCTCTCATTCCTGTTGTGGAATCTTTTTCACCAAGTGTTCCTGCATCACTGTAGCCTGCAGACACGGTGGTACTCTAAGTCTTTGCACTGGGACTGCCGCTACCAGTGTGTCCGAGTCATGCACACAACACCAAATTCATACAAAGACATTTGACATTGAACAAAAATTCTTTCAGAGACAGAGTTTTCTTAGACAGGGTCATGCACCAGTTGTAGTTGCTGTGGTTGACCACTAAACTGTGCTGTGATGTGACCCTTAGCAAGGTGACACAGTTACCATGGAAACAGTAGCCTGTGACACCCCGGCAATGGTTTCATAGCACGACTTAGCAGAACATGGTGGATGCAGAGAGATGAAGGGATGCAGGAGGAGGACTAGAGGACTGAGCCATAGATGATGGATGATGGGGGCTGAACCAGGCTGCAGGAGGTCTGGAGGAAAGAAATGTAGATGGGATTGGAAAAAAAACAAAAAAAAAAACAAGTGGAGAGTGAGAGAGGGAACTGGCTTGCAGAGCAGCAGAGAGTTTCAGGAGTTCACTGGGTTCAGGAGATGACTGCAGTCTGAGAAACTCCAGTCACACAGAGCTACGTGCCACAGCAGCACGTCAGTAGTTATGTGATCATTGCATAGAGGTGGATCAGCAACGTGTTGCATATATCATTGATTATATATGTGTCATATTAGGAAGATGACAAAACCATTTTCATTTACTTGCATTAAAATCTCATTGCTCTGACTCCCCCAAAAACACATTGTTTTGGTGTAGCAACAGAAGCAGCATTGTTTCATTCTGATGCTAAGTAATATTACACTAACAGTGCAAAGTACAAGCTTGTAAGTTGAATTCCATCGTGTGAAATCATGGCTCGTAGCTGAGCATATTTGTTGTGTCCAGAGTTTCTTCACTGTAGTATTATTTGCTGTGTTTCACTCTGTCAGCATGACGCAGATATTCACAGTTAAGTGACCCGGACCAATAGAGAAATCTGTCTTTCTACATTATTCCCACTGGCATCTAAATGAGGATAAAGAAGTCATTTCTGGAAACAAGCCTGCAAGACATCTACTTGCAAATGGGTGACTCAGCACATCAGCTAATTATAGGAACTCTCTCACTGAGCTATCACTTTTCATTTGGGTCATAACTGTTTTTAGTCATTATTTCACAGGCACATCAAGTTACAGATAAGATGGTGTCTCTGTCTTCACTCTCTGCTTCCTCACTCCGGCTGAAGTCAAGCAGCTGTGATCTCAGACATGTTTTAGTCCTGTCTTTATTTAGCTTCTGGAAATAATTTGTCTACCTGAGAACTGCCTTGTACTGTCTTGAATATCTAGTTCATAATTTAGAGCAAATAAAGTCAAATAGCTTTTTTTTTACATATATTTTTACATTATCATCATTAATCAGAATCAAATCTACACCTTGCACTGTGAGTGCCAGGGATGTTGGCATCATCTTCTCTAACAATAACAGCAGCTAAGTCGTAATTTGCCATCATTTGTAGTTACTCCTTCAAACCACTAGGTGTCCCTAGTTATCTTAGTATCACAGATAACTGTGGACCCGCCTCCTGCTGCACTGTGTCTGCCTGTGATTGGCTAAGCTCCCTGTATGTCAGTCTTGGTGAGTTAATACCTGGTCATCACTTGCTCTGTTCTGCTTCAAGGCCGAATCAGCAGATGGGCTCACTTTGTTTAGGGACTGATTTAACTGATGTGTCTTTTGAAATGGTTAAACACCATTAAATGATCATTTTTCATTTTACCACTTGCTAACTATATCTAGGTTTTTAAGTAAGCCACGGTGTTTAAATAGCTCCCAACTCAAGCTGTGTGGAGCAGGAGGAGCACTGTACAGAGCTTGAATAACGGTCACAGAAAGCCAGTGTTTATCTGTAGTTATAAAGAACAGTGTAACAGTCGTGCGGTTTCTAAGCAACACAAGCTGGACTGAATGATATTTAATTTTCATCACTGCTTTCTGTATCTTGTTAAGTAATGCAAATAAGTTAGAGGCCTTGGAGATCATTAACCTCCTCCTACATATTCTGCCGTGTACTTTGAGAAGCACTTTGTAGGCTGTTCATTGCTTGAACACAGCAGTGCAGCTCTCAAGGAATAGTTAGAAACGTAGTGCAGTGGGCTGCTCATCATTTTTAAAAGTTGTCAGAGTGGTGTCCCTAAAAGTTAGACTTTTATGTAAATGCTGACATTTTAAAACTAAGTACAGATGGAACCTGAATTATGATTTAACATTTCTGGATCGGTCACCGTGCTTCAGTGCACGTTAGTGATGAAAACAGTCTGCTAAATGTCCGATCAAAGGAACTTCTGGTCATCCAGCATGGAGCATTCGTGAAAAGCTGACAGGCTCAGATGAGGGTTGTAGCTACCACAGCTGATGATGGAGTGCAGCCACAGTGAAGGGATGAAAGCTTCGGCGAGCTGATTAGTGCTCTTCTCCTATTGGTCTGTGCCTTTTCCATATATGTTTATGCTTTTGGTTAATGAGATGAGATGGATTATAAGGCTTCGACCAGTTGAGACCATTGCTGCCCGTCAGTGGTTTCCCTCTATATCTATCTGTTCAGCAGCCGTCGGGCACTTTCTGTATACGCAGAGAAGAGTGAGTTCATACGTCTCCTTCTGCAGTGGCATAGTCGTATTATACTGGTCACATGTGTTAGGCGTGGTATTCAATTTAAGTGCAGTGATGGTGGGTGGAAGCCTATAGAGACTTTAAAATGTTAAGTAGAGTTAAAACAGGTATGTTATTGGATATGACAGGCTATCAAATCATATACCAGTATATTAAGACTGTTTACAAATGGTAAACACAACTGTTGCATCTTTTATTTGTATTGTCCAAAACCCAAACTGACCATTTGTGAAGCCATATACATACAGTATGTGTGTGTGTTTGTGTGTAGATATATAGATAGAGAGAGAGAGAGAGAGAAGATTAAAAGGGGTATTTTTAGTTAATCCTGTTACGTCATCAAATTGATGCAGAAATCCTGCACATTCCATATTTTCATTAAACAGTTCTCACTCATTTTCAACATTGCCTGCAGTGTCCTAATACAGCCAGTGATGATGAAAGCTTTTTAAAGGTATAGAAGAATTGCTAATTT